TCATGCGAGTGGAATTGGAATTGGGAAAGGCGTTCAGAATTTTTTAACAGTCAGCAAAGCGCTCGCGCTCGGTACGATCTTGATCGTCGGATTGACGGTCGTGCCTGCTGTCGCGTCTGAGCCTGTTTCCCATCAGGATTTTAAAGGGAGTTTTGGTGTCGCGCTCGTCTTTGTCATGTACGCCTACGGAGGCTGGAATGATGTTGCGATGGTGACTCCGGAAGTCAAAAATCAACAGCGATCAATGCCGCGGGCATTACTATTAGGGCTTGCATTCGTAGCTGTGTTGTATCTGGGGCTGAATTTTGTCTTTGTGAAAGTGTTGGGACTGACTGGGGTGAGAGCAACTGCGATCCCGGCTGCGGAAGTTGTGCGTCTGGCTCTGGGACGGGAAGCATCGTTGATCATCAATCTGATTGTCATTTGCTCTGCCTTGGGAGCGATTCATGGAACGACCTTCGCCTCTTGTCGTTTGGTGGCAGCCGTGGGTGAAGATTATCCGGCCTTTAAGAAATTGAGCCATTGGACGAGTCGTGATGTTCCCCTGATCGCGCTGATCTCCATTACCATTGTCACCTTATTTTTAGTGTTGGGAGTGGGGACTGAGTGGGGACGTACCATACTCGAACAGATTCTTGTCTCTCTCTTTCTACCCCGACCAGACTGGCAGAAATATTTTGGAGGCTTTGATACCTTGGTCGCTGCCACTGCTCCCCTGTTCTGGTTTTTCTTCGCGATGTCGGGAATTTCAGTGTTACTGCTGCGTTTGACAGACCGTTCCACGCCGAGATCGTTCCTTGTTCCGTTTTTTCCCCTCCCCGTACTCATCTTTTGTGGAGCATCCTGCTTTATGCTCTGGAAAAGCATTGAATACGCCTGGGAACTAACGCTGATCTCTTTGCCATTAATCATCGTCGGTCTGTTGTTGGCGTTAGTGACACAATTCAATGATGCATGAACAGAGTTAGTAAGTGCTACCAGAGCTATCAGCCGATCCGCGTTGGCGGACGGTTCCAAGTCAAGAACCGTGGGCTAACGCCCAGCGGCTAATGTGGCAAACCGATATTGTCAGGCATTCTTGGGATACGGTCTGTTCTGATTCGCAAGTTGAATGTCGGTAACAGCTTACGCTGCCGCAGTTGAGAGAGAGCTGCAGGTTGATCTTGACCTTGTTCTCATTCTCATGTTATTCGATGTTGAAATGGAACAGTTGCATTTCAGGTCGGTATTCTGATTGATGCGGAGCAAGGATGTCTGGTGATTGGCTGCGGAACAATCTCGCTCGTCCGATCGACGGAGCCTCGTTAGGGCTCTTTCGGATTTTGTGGGGATTACTGATGGTCTGGGAGTCGATCAGGAAGCTCCCCAAGGCCGATGGCATGTACTCGCCAACCTTCTTTCATTTCAAGTATGAGCACTTCTATTTCGTCGAGCCGCTGCCTGAAATCTGGATGATGCAGGCTGAGATTACTTTGATGTTGATCGCAGCGATCTTCGTGACGATTGGCTGGTTTTACCGCCCTGCTGCGGCCGTGTTTCTAGTGGTCTTCACCCATCTCTTTTTGATCGAGAAGATTTACTACAACAATCACTTCTACCTGACGATTCTTATCGGCTTCCTGCTTATGTTTTGTCAGGCCGACCGCTGCTTTCGGCTGCCGATGTTCTGGAAGAAGCAGAAGAGCAGCGAACCAAGTGCGCAGCAGCAAGCAGTTCCTTATTGGAATTTACTCTTACTCCGCACTCAGATTGTGATCCTCTATTTCTTTGGGGGGGATTGCCAAAATCAACAGCGACTGGCTGGCTGGAGAACCTGTTCGCTATTGGTTCTCGTTGAAGAAACCTGACCATCCAATGGCGTTTTTCCTGGGGCAGGAATGGTTCATCATGTTTGTCTGCTGGTCGGGGTTGATACTCGATCTGTTTGCCGGGTTTACCCTGCTCTCCCGGCGGACCCGCGTTATCACAATGATTGCATTAGTCATCTTTCACAGCACGAATTCAATGCTGTTTCAGATTGGTCTTTTCCCGCTGATTGGGATTGGTTTGCTGGTGCTGTTTATCGAGCCTGATCGACCAAGAAAGATTCTGCACTGGCTGAAGAATTTCTGGTACGGCAGAACGGAACAGTTCAAGGCTGTTGTCTCAACGAGTCAGATTTCTTTGCCGAAGGCAAGTTGGGCGGTGACGACATTCGTCTGCGGCTGGATTGCTTTTCAGGCCCTCTTTCCGACACGGATCTGGTTGTATGAGCAGAATCCCGGTTGGACGGAAGTGGGGCAATGCTTCTCCTGGCGTATGATGCTGCGGACGAAAGATGCCTTCATGCATCTGAAGTTTGATCCACCTGAAGCGGAACGCTATTTGGAGCAGCATCCAGAAATATTGCCAGTGATCAGCGAGGCACATGTCTTACGCATGTCGAAGAATCCGCTGTTCATTAAGCAATATGTCCAGAAGCTTGATTCCATTCTTGAGGCAGAAGGGATCACTGACGTGGAGATTCGCTGCATCGGGGTCGCCTCGATGAACGGTCGTCCCTACCAGTTCCTGGTTGATCCAGAGGTCGATCTGACACAGGTCTCTTCTGGACTATGGGAAGTCCCCGACTGGATTGTGCCGTTGGACAAACACCGCAAACCGGGACAGTACCCACAAAATCCCGCTGAACGAAAGAAGATGATTGCCGGTGTTTATCAGGACTACATCGAGCAGCGCAAACCGGATGTAGAAAATAAAAAGCGAGTCAAGTATGCCGCTGTTGAGTATTCCGGTTCGCTATACTGATGACCATGTCAGATAGCTACCATCTGATAGTCGGCTATGCGAAAAAGTTCTCACAGTAGTCGATGCTCATCCAGAATTCATAAAATATTTGATGTTTGTGCAAATTTCTCCGCCTCATTGAATCTGAACAATCGCCTATTCACCAGGGTGATGTTGTTGTGTTTTTTGGGATCAACTAAAAATCATGCTTGGGCAGGTGCTCTGTCGAGGGGGAGATTTGTCTATCAGGCGGTGGAATGAGTAACGAGGCAAACAGGGCTGACGAACAGAGTTTGATCGTGAATCAACTCATCGCTGAGTT